TGGATAGTTCTGGTGACTCCAGAAATAGAACCACCACCCCCTCGCAGAAAATGAGTTGTTTGACATTTTTATTAGCTTCACCCCTTGTTCTGTGGAGATGACTGCCAGTTACCTACACTGGCATGACTGGTAGGAAAGTAGGTAGAAGGAAAAAAAAAAAAAAAGCACAGCTGACAGCATCTTGCAAGTCTGTGGTGCTAAATCAGCATCAGTGCCACGTGCCTTCTCCATGAGGACGGGATGTAGAGGTAGAGTCGTGACAGTATGTTCCAAGGTGTCCCTGTGGTTCTCCCAGCTTGCTCTGTCAATGTTTCATCTCAGGTTATTAGTATTTATAAAAGCATGCCCTTAAAATAGCTTCATGGTGTTAATAGAAGCAAAAATAGCAGTTCCTGCGCTTAAGTTGTTCGTAGCGGGGTAAAATAGGGCTAAATTGGGCAAGCAGAGAAATCATCATAGCACAACCCAGTTTAAGGGTGACTTTCAAATCCCCTTCATGTCTTAAAAATCACTGACTTTAAGCTAAAATTTAGACGAGGATACATTCCTTCCTGCTTTACAGAAAACCCTTCTCCCTTTAAGAGGTGTAAGATGTGGGGTGACTTTGCTTAAATCTACTCACTAAGTCGTCCACTCAGAAGTGGAGCAACCACAAGCTTCTGAAAACTCATTTCAGAAAAATTTTTCAGATTTGCATTTGAAATGTGTAAAATAGACATGTGGATTGTAAAACAGATCCTGTTGTGGGTTGACCCGAGGTGCCCACCAAAGCTGCCATGTCACTTCCCTTCTCAACTGGACAGGGAGGGGAGAGAAAATATTATGAAGGACTCTTGTGCTGAGAGATCACACACCAATAGCCATCAGGAGCCAAACAGACCCCTCTTGGGGAAATCAGCTTATCACCAATAAAATCAAAGTAGAATAATAAGAAAATAAAATCTAAGTCTTAAAACACCTTCCCACCACCCCTCCCTCCTTCAGTCTGATCTATCTCCTCCCCTCAAGTGTCACAAGGGGACGGGAATGGGGGCTGTGGTGAGTTCATCACTTATTGTCTCTGCCACTCCCTCCTCCTCAGCGGGAGGACTCTTCACACTCCCTTCTGCAGTGTGGAGTCCCTCCCCTGGGGGACAGAGAGGGCACAATTCTGTCACCATGGCCAGCTCCTGGGCTGCCTGTGCTCCAGCTCCTGGGGCACCTCCTGCCCCTCCTTCTGCTCTGACCTTGGCATCTGTGGAATGGCTTCTCTCACAGATTATCTCTTCAGCTGCAGTTTCAGAGAGAACTGAAAAACAATTTATTCACCATCTACAGAATATAGAGAGAGGGAGCATAAGAGGCATTGCATTTATTTTCCTTATCAAATTATTTCTTAAATAGGCACAGCAGTCTGTATGTGTCTATTCCAGGCACAGCAGATCAATGACCTTCTGGCACCAAAACTGATGAACCCTTAGCTGTTCTCTAGACAATGTTGATCATGCTTCACTGAGAAATCCATGTCTTTTTTTTTTTTTTAATTCTCTGTATGTCTGCAAGTAGACTCTGTGATTATTGCCAGATGAGCCACAGACAATATTTGAAGTAACTACTGCATGTTCTAAGACAAGACAAAGAAACACAGGCTATTACAACAGTGTGTCCAGATTCCAACCTCACTTAACACTGGAGTCGGTCTCAATCACATCAGTGAAGTATGAGTGAAGCTCTGGAGAAAGAGAGAAAAATTAGTTACTTTATCATGCCTTGGCATAATTAAAAGTAGTTATAAAAATTGATAATCTGAAAAACTCTATCATCAGGTTGTTTGAGACTGATATTTTTCCTGTAGTAAACTACTAATTGTCTGGAGTGACTATACAATATTTTTTTAAATAGGCTGGTTTCTTATTTGCAATACTTAAATATTTCTTACAACAGTTGTTTCAGAAAGGAAACAACACAGTAACAGAACTGGGAGCTTTTCCCATTGTGTTTCCTTTAAAATTTGCAGTTGCTTTAGACAAAAATGTTTGTCTGTTTTGCTGATTTCTTATTTGCCAGTGCTAAAACAATATCCCATGTAAACTGTAGAAGTTGCCAAATTAATTTTTGTGGTTTAATATCAGGCAAACAAATCTTTCCATTACTAATTATTTTTTGACCTTGCATATGAGAATAGGATTAGACTGACTACAACTGACACTGATTATGTGAGACAGGATGTTATTAAATCCCTTTGGGGAGCTTTTGAAAGATCCACCGCATTTAGAGAAGAGAGCTTTTCTCTGTCTTAGCTCATTTATGGAGCAATTACATGTGACTTACTACAAAAACGATGTCAAAAAAAACACTGAGCAAACAGCTAAAGTGGAATTTACACCACTCCCATCTCTGTCAAAACATCTCACAACCTCAAGCCTTAAAAAAAATTTTTGTCAAGGTTACCTATAGCAAAACCATTTGCTATATATCAGCAAAATATATGAAATATATTGGATTAAGACTACATGGAGGAGAATTTGTAATGGATATGAAGGCAGCAGAGATTTCTCATTGCTCAAATGGCTTCTTTGCACCAGGAGCCCAAATTTAATTAATTTTGCAGGCTTGAAAAGCCTAATGTTTTCATTTAAGCTATCTCAGGATTTGCAAGTTTTGTTTTTCATTAGAACATTCCTATAGAGGGTTTCTTAGTGAAGTGCAGAGAAATATGCAAAATGTACTGACTTGAAAAACCTCTGCTCATTCTGGAAAAACCTGTGGCCAAATTTTCTGCTTTGTTTGATTGGGGTTTTTTGGTTTTTTTCAATATTAATATTGCTCAGGTGATTTTTAGGAGTAGTTTACAATTTTGTACCTAAAAGTATGTGAATACAAAATGGAGAGCTAGGTAAAGACCTTTTCCATAACTGTGTTTCTAGAATTGACTGCTTTCCTAATATCCATAGCTGAGAATGAAAATGCACAGTAAAGTGCTACAGAACTGTGCGTACTAAATATCTACACACTTATTGATTATGACATTTACAGTTTGAAAATATTAAAAAAGCTGTTAAAAATGTATAATCCAAAGTAATACTGACAGTTCACTGCAGAACCAACAGTACAGAGGTGTTATATTGCAAAGATTTATTCTCACCCCCAGTTTGATTTCAAAGTTGATATTGCTGTAAATTATTGTGATGACAACACTTAATAATTGGGCCCTCACATTTTGTTTGTCTTCCTTGTGTGTCTTCCCATACTAAATCCAAGACAAGTATGGAAGAAGTTAAAAGATACTTAAATGTTTTTTCCTTAGGTACAACTCAGTGGCGTGACTAAAGTAACATGCTGGCACTCACTCACACTTTTCCTCAGGGTGTCTCAAAGACCTCCAGCTTGCTGCCAGTGGTCCTTGACATGAAGTCAAACCTAGGGCAGACTTAGAGCAGTGGCAAGAGCCTCAGCAGGATTACCCTGTCCCACAAACACTAAGATTCTCTGCTGCTCTCTGTAGCACTCCTGAAATATGTCTTGTATGTAAAGGTGTGTTTATCTTTACACATGTTGCCGAGAAGGTCCCTACTTTGCAGTAACCACTGGTAATTGATGGTGAGTACTGGAGGGTAGGATTTTTTGCACATGTAGTGATCACTGACCACAGGGAAAGTTTAGGTAAAGATTCTGGTCCATAAATATAGATATGTGTTGTATTCCATTTTATTTAAATGGTATGCTCTGTCTCACCCCTTCGAAATGTATGGTACATTCTAAGCCTGTGGTCCTGCCCTGAACCATCCTGTACCTGTAATCCCATTGGCCCAAGTCTGATTCTGCGCCCACTTCAATTCCCCTCTTAAGCTGTGCTAGGGGATCAGTCTGGCTCTTAGCCCTTCCTCTCTCTCAGCCTCTTCCCCCCTCTTGCCCCTTCCCTCCCCGAGGCTCCCCCTCCCTCCCCCTTCCCCCCTTTTCCCTCAGTAACTATGCTGTACCCGGGGTTGGGACCCCAAATAAACCTTCATCTGATCAGAAGCCGTGTGGAGTCTCCTTGCCTGCCTGCTGCTGCCAGCCAGCTCACAGCCTAGGGGGCCCTCCAGGGACATCCCCGGGGTGCCCCCCCCTCTAAATGCACTGCAACAGATATGCTTGCATCAGGAAAATCTGATTTTTACTGAGTTTGTTCTTCCAGGAATGTTAAGTTGTATTTCTGATATTGCAAATGAATAAAGCAGTACTGTATGAGGTGTTCTGCATGGCCAAATATTGTAGTCCTTACTCAGAATTTACTCAGGAAAAACCACCTTTGACTTCAGTGAGGATTTGCTTGACTAAGGACTGCACAGACTGTTGTGAATCTTACCAGCATCGCTTGATGCTAATGTTGGGCAACAGTTCTCATTGCTAATTTGCCTGCCTCGTCCTTCTCCTGGGCTCAGGATCTGCTTTTGCTGTGTGGTATTCATAGCTTCTATTGCTAGTTCAGATTCTTTGTGCTTTTCTTTCCCAGCAAACATTTTGCAGCTATTGTTCTGCTGCTGGTAGATGAGCACAGAACCTGGTATACAGGACTTGAACCTCAGCCCAGATTCAATTAACACTGTTAAACATGTTCTCACTATGGTGCTCAGAAGAAATTTTGATGACCCTCTTTCAATGAAGCATAAATTTGTTTAAGCTGATGCTTTTAGAATGCAAAAATATAAGGGCTTGATTCACAAATCTTAAGACCAAATGCTTCTGCAGTAAAATAGATGGAGTAGCACCCATTTAGAGCCATCAAAAGGTCAATTGTAAATGCTTATTGCGCCCTACAAAATTCAGCCAAGAAAGTTACTAAATGTGTGTGCTGTAGCATCGCTCTGTTTTGTAATTTTAATACTGCTTTAAAGTAAGATATCCTGAACAATAATTGCAATAATAATTAGTACCAAATTATGCCATAGCCTTCTGATACGAAGAAAACTAGCTAGGTTATCACTCGTATGTCTTATGAGCCATACCTAGCCATGGTTTATCCTCTATTCATGCTACAGGGTACGAAATTCCTGGGTGCCAACCTGCCTATGGCAACCTAGAATTCTCCAGGGCAGGCTCGCAAAATCTTCACCTACTCTCTGGGACAGGTAACTAATAAGTGATGTTTTGTGAAGTTATGCTTTCTTTCTAACTTTCTGATGTCCGTAAAAATGTTTCATTTCTTCATGTTAGTCCGTGGTCTCTCATTGTTCAGTTCCACTGTGTTTTCTGGACTAGGGGAGTAGCAGCAGACCTGTTTGTTCGAGTGCTCTAGATGCTTACCTCAGCCAAGCCTGGAATAATTGTTACTAACATGCATAAAACCTGAAAGTTGTTTAAGAGGCTGCAAATTCCACAGCTGCCTACTACCAGTTAATCTTTTTTTTCTGATGGAGTAGTTTGACAATGCAGGTGCATTACATTTCACTGTTGGTGCCACAGTTATCTGGGCAGTTCACCCACCTTTCTTAATTGCTGGTATGTATACATACTTTCTTTCCTTTATCATGTTTACATTAATCTTGAGTCTCCTGAGCTAATGATATTTCAATGCTATAGGTACAGAACACTGAAAGGCTGGGGGACTTATGACTGATTCTGGTTTACATTTCTATGCATCATGTAGTATAAGTTTAAGTAATGACTCAGTTTTCCATATTTTGCTTAAATTCTCTTCTACTTTTCTCCTGAATTCACTGTCTGTTCTTTTTTCTTTGCTTTATTTCAAGTGGCAGATATGTAGAAGAAATGTCATTCACTAATCCTATACCTTTCAATGACTTACGAAATATTGTAATATATTTCAAAGTTTAAAAGTTATTAGGTTGAAAGAATAAAGACAAACTAAGCTTCAGATTGGTTCCCGCAGTCTATTGATTTTCTCTGAATACAAGATAATAATGTGTGAGGAAATTTCATCTTAAGAGAGCTGATAGTGTAAGCAAGGCATAAGTGAGATTCTTTTTGATTTTTTTTCACATGGTCTACACTCTGTGGAGCCAAAGAAAAACCCAGCAATCTTGGAAAAGTGGTTTGAATTCTTGCTTTTCATTCCCCTGGGATTCTGCAGGTACACTCTACTCTTACCTGGGTTTGGAAGACTTTGATGCAAAAATAGCTTTGCTCTTGCTAAAATCAAGAGATGACCATGAAGTGAAACATAATCCAGTTTTACAAAATGTTCAACCCTAATTCCAGCTTGGTTGAATATTTGGAAGTCCTTTAAAATCAGAAGAAATTCACAGATCCACTGTGTAATCACTAAGTTTGATCTCACGTTCTGTTTTAAAATGGATGTCCACATGGAATTTCTGAGTCTTGAGATGATACTTAGTCATCTTTCTGTAAGGTTCAGTAAAAATACTTTTTTTTTCCTACCACCATTGTCTACTTTTAGTTGTTACCTATGAAACAAAAAAGCTTACTCTTGTAAAGGACAATATCATAGTTTATCTCCAACTGTACTACAACTTAAAATGCACAAAGATTTTAGCTCAACCCATTTACCCATTTCATAAAAATATTAAAAGTAAATAGTCATTGAAAGACAATTTTCATTTTCCTATGTGCTTTTTGAAAAGCTCACAAGGACTACACTTTTAGAGAAATTTTTGTATTTCCTGAAAGCTGGCTTGTTTCTTTCCTGTGAGTAACTCAGGTTTAATCTCACTGTTTCAACATATCTAGGCTGTAAAACAATATCTGGAAACTTGCTTTCTAGTTATATTGAAAAATACCACCTTGCTGAAGGAATTAATAAAAGACCCAAATGTTTGTTTGGTAAAATGAAAAATAGTGAGTATGACAAGTGTCAGCATTTACAAAATGAGGATAGGTTCTACTTTATCCAGCCTGATGCACCTTAACCTTTAAAAACTAATGAGAAAGCAGTAACAGTATCAACAAGAGATTTCTAGTAAAAACCTAAGTTTTGATTAACCCAGAATGCTGAAGTTGTTCAGTTATAACGTGTCAGAAGGAAAAAAAAAAAAACCCAAAACCAAAAACAAAGATGGCCTGTGTTTATGTAATCCACATCTCAAGGCACAAGAGGAATTTTTGGGAAAGTCTGGAGTAGTGAATCTGCTTCCTTACCAGTGTCAAGGTGCAGGGCTGGTTACAAGAGTTTGGAGGAATGCAGTCCTGTTCCCTCTCCTTTCCCATACAGCCACAAAAAAAAAAAAAAAAAAAAAAAAAAAAAGGTGACAAAGAGTTTTACACTGAAAAGCGGAGCAGGATAAAATACTGAGGTAACAAATTATGACATTCAGCTGGGAGGAAAGTTGTGTGAAATGATGGCACAACATGCTGAGCCATGGGGAACTTGCTAGAGGTGAACTCATTTATGCTCTTGCAGAGTAGAAAACTTCTCAGTTAACAAGTCCCAAAATAGTGTGCTGCAGTGTATAAAACAAGGTAGGGCTTGAAATAATTAGCCACAGATGACAGATGGCAACTCCTTTCTCTTTTTTTCTTTCTTTTCTTTTGCTGTAATATCAAGTTGATCAAAGAGCTGAGGATCATTTGTTATGGTAGGAAAACTAAAAATATCTTGAAATATTCAGACAAAACAAGTTCATTCAGGTACGAGCCAGTAGCTCTCATTGTTCCTGTTCAACACCTTGTACATGAGTTTATGTGTAGTAATAGTTTCCCTCAGGATCTGAATTACATATGCACAGCTGAGAATTTGGATGTGTCCTGGCTTAGGAGCATTATTTAATAAATTTATTAAATCAAATTGTTAATTTATATAATGTAATAGTTTGCTTGTGTTAACAAACCAATGATCTTTTGTACTGCCAGAAAACCCTCCAGAAAAGTGCCCAGAGCTCACCTCTCTGGCAGGTCACTTGAGCAATGCCATAGAGGGGCTCTGCGAGGGGAACCAGATGCCAGGGAGCAGAGGCTGCAGTAGAACTGACTGCACCCATGGCCTCTGGAGGTGTCCGAAGGGGCAGTGCTGCATCTCACTCCAGGCAGGAGCAGCATTTCCTCCTGGGCTCTTAGGAGTAACATCTGGCAAGCATGGGCGCTGTTTTAAAGGCAATCACCTATGGATTCAAGTTAGAGACACAACAAGAGCTTCTGTCTTGCATGACTTCTGTCACAAAAGAGGATCAGAACACAACTGTAACAGATGTAGTTAAAAGGAGAATTCAGTAATTTGCTCAAATAATGTAATATACACTGCTCATAAAGGAAAAAAGCCATAGAATCTCCAGTCCCAGTAGTAATTCTGTCTGACTGGTTCACGAGCCAGAAGAGCATGTTTGATTTTTTTCAGCTGCTTAGCATAACCTTTCTGATGGAAGTGTTAAGCCAACACACCTAAATTAGTCCCTTGAGCAAGACAAAGATGAATTTCAAATCAGAGGAAAGAGAGAAAAGGATTGGGAAAGGAAGGAAATGAGAACAGAGATTATAACCTCTGTCTGTTAACCTATGTCTGGATGTTTTATACCAAATAAAATAGGTACAAAATTCTATCCCTACTTCTAAAGCACATTTCTCCAGTATTCCCCTACCACACTTACAACCTCAGTCCTTTAATAGAAAGAATAAGATCAATTTCAGATTGCTTCTGGCCAGTGGGCTTCACCCATTCTCATTACATTCCTATTACACATAAACTGCACAATTCAGGAGGAGCCACACTTCTGTTCCAGCACAGCTTGATCCAGATGAATCGGGGAAATAAACAGACAAAAACAAAAGTGAGAAAGGTTTAATAACACAATTAAAATATAACTTTATAAGCTTGTGAGCCGATGTGGCAGGCTGCTCTCAGTAATTTCCAGAGGGAGTGCTTATCCGTGACTACAAACCAAAGCAATCTAGAAGCTGGCCACTCAGAGCTGTAAGGAGAGCTACTGCAACTGAAGGCAGCCTGCTTAATCACCAGGAGAGCTCTCTTTAGCTTTCTAATCACAAATTGAAGTCTACCTCTAATTTTGCTTCCTCAATTTTTCAATACCTTACTATTTTTTTCCCCTTTCTTATCACCTCTCGGTAGTCTGGATTCCCTAGTGAGATGCAATGCAGACAGGTAGGATTCTGACAGACATTAAAAAGCAGACAACAACTGCTCAACAACTTCAAATAACTTTCTGTTTGAGGCAAAGCCCCCCCACTCAGTGGCCTGTGTTACATCATATTTGTTGCAGTCAGCCTTTGCTGCTGGTTTTCTTACCCTTTCGAACCCTGCAACTTTAGACTGCAACTCATGATTTCTGCTACCCAAACATTTTATGCAAACTTATCAGCCTCTGGGAAGCCAGGAAATAGCAGCTCTTACAGGGGTGAACCTTCTTCCAGACTCATGGGAACAGCAGAGTCTGGACAGAAAGCAGTGAAGATCCCTTAATCCCTAGGAAGGGTCAGGGTCATTCTGATTCTGCTCTCTTGCACAAATGCTGTCTGAAGTTTGTCACACCAGAAGTTTCCTGCCTTCTCTCCCAGTTTAACCATCTGATTCATTTCAGATGTGCTCCAAGAACTAGGCAACATTTGAACAATGCAGAAAATATAAAGCAGGGCATGAACATGAATGGAGTCCTTCATTATGGTAGGAAAATAAACATGTCCTTCCTGCCTCTAGAGAATGAGCCAGAAAGCATGTATTCCTTCTAGAATCTCATGCTGGTTTTCTTCTCTTGGATCCATATTTTCCAGCTCTCCAAGCTTTCATTTTCTAGCAATACAGAAAAACAAATCGAACAGACACAGTCCTTATTCAAACTTTTGTAGGATCACTTACTGAGCCTAAAGGTTTGCATTTAAGCCACTGCTACTAAGAGTTTACCTGCCAGAGCTGAAAACAATTAGTTTCCACTTCAAAGAGAGCCTAACAGAGGCACTAGGAGCCAACTTGGAAGAAAGCAAAGATCATAGTAACAACTTCTGCTGCTTCCATTCTTTCCCTCTACTTTAGTCACCTTTGAATTTGGGCACAAGGCTCCTGCTGTTTTGCTGTGCACTGCATTCATTTCTCACATAGTCAGGTATTCAACCTCAGAAGTGTCTCATAGGCAAAAATGGTCATCTCATTCATAGAAGACAGAAACATATTTGGAAGATTCCAGTTCCAAACCAAGTTAGCACAAGT